TTCAGATGCTGCAAGAAGAGCATCAGCCAGCAGTGTTCTCCTTGCACAGAGCTCCCATTCATGTGGCACCTACACTGTTTAGAGCACATAATTTCCAGGGCTTTTCGAGTTTCTGCTCTGCCACCCATTTAATGCTTTTTGTCTTTTAGTTCAACTCAAGCTCAACTTGAATGTGAATTAAAGCAGGTGACAGAGTCTGCTTTCTGGTTGCTTCTAATCTGCCTGTACAGCTGGGACAGAAGTTATGGGCTAGAAGTCAATAAAAGAGGCAAAGGTGCAGCTACGACACTGGCATAAACAACTGCACAGCTTTGAAGTCAGTGGACCTTTGGTGGTTTGCACCAGCTGTGATTTAACAGACCTGTTAGGCCGTGAAATCTTTCATAATTAGCTTGGACATTGTTAAATGTGTCGTATGTTTTATGGACTGGTTTTAACAATCTGCAAAAAAGAATGTATTATGCTGTAAACTCAACAGGGAAGCAAGAACAGGCTATAGTACATAAAGAGGGTGAGTTAACACTTCCTAGGGAATGCAGCAGACTCTTTGACTTGTAATTTGAACTGTTGCAAGTATTGCAATCATTCGGTGTTGTTCAGGTAGTAGTTTTTTTACAACATAGGGGTTAAGTAGGTAAGGAGTGCTGGGGCTCAGTTTCAGCTCCTGATTGTGCACATGAAATGCTCCTGTGAAAAGCCAGTGCTCAGAGCTCTGCTGGTTGCCCCAGTACTGAATTAATCCTTCCATGACGAGTAAAGACTGCGGGTGGAGTTCTCAGGTGCCAGTGGGGGAGGAATTCTGTTCCCCAGCATCTTCTGTCCAAACCATCCTTCCTTGTGTAGGGTGCTGTCTGGAGGAATGTGGGATGTTCCCTGTGACACAGATCCACAGATGCCAGCTGTGTATCAGGACAACCCATCCGGAGTAAAATGTGCCCCCAGTGAGCGCAGCAGTGACCCAGCCACTTCACACCCACAAAGACACCGTTTGTGTGGTGGTTTCCAGCACAGTGCACTCATCCTTATCCCCCCCAGTTCTTAGAGGCATTTGTGATTCTAATGATTTCAACAGGAAATGGACTTTTGTACGAGCTTTCCCCTCCCCTTCCAGTTTCTTTCCGTGCAGCAGCTGCCGTTGCCAGGCTGTCTTCGTTGCTATGGTGGTGGTTTGTGTGCCAGGATTTTATATTCACTCCACAAGAGTCACCTGATGGAGTGGCTGTGCCACGCAACTTATCAGTCTCCCTCGTAAAGATAAAGGCTGTTCTGTACGTATGACACCTAGTAAATGGGTCAGATTAAACAGGAACAGATTCCAGTGGCCACTGGCAGAGAGTCTGAGGTATTAACAGCTGAATTCTTTTAGTAAATGAGAGACTTGGAGTTCGGTAGCTTTTCATTTCTTAACAGCCACAAGGCAACTTCACTACACCTTGTGGCACTTGTGGCATTGGTAAGGTTCGAGTTTTCATCTCTGGATGAAGTGAAAGGAGCTTTTATCAGGAGAGCTGAGCTTTGATCAGAAAGACAGGGTCAAATTTTCTGTATTTCCTTGCTGGAGAATTGTTCTGTAGAACTTAATGATCGTGCTCCTACTGATAATTGAAGTATAATTTGACCCAATTTGAAGTGCAATTAGGATGATAAACTCAGCTCCACCAGAAGTATATCTTTAATCCCAACTCTGCAAACATTTGCCACTTTTGTTTAACTCTTGCTGTGTTCAGTCCCAGCACTGCAGGGAAGCATTTTCCAGGCTGAGGCCACTGCTCCTTTTGCAAATCTAGATTTACACCAGTAAACTCAGGACAGCAAGTGACATGGGGATAATTCACGCATATGTTTCTAAAATCAAATTTAAAATAGTAAATTGAATTTTTAGAGCATTTCTTATATTGCTTCATGATACAATCTTGCAGTGTAGCTTTTGCTGCATCTTCATTTGACCTGACTGATCACTGCTATCTATTATTTAAATGAGTTATTGCTCCTTTTGCACTGTTTGTTTACATACAATTCCAGATGTGTATCTAAAACACGGTGTTTGCAGTTATTCCCCTGGAAATGAAATATCGGTACTGAAAGCCATTATATAAAAAAATAACACTTTATGGATATACTGCATTCAAATAACTTGTATTACTTGCACAAGGCAATCATTTTACTGCGCAGGCTGAGATGTCTTTGAACCTGCAGCCATGAAAACATCCAGAAATAGTTCCTGCAGCAACGTAAGACCAGCAGGTGTCACATCTGAAATGTACAGTTTGGAATAACTATCTGAATAAGCCCACTGAGATGTGGTTGTTTTTTTTTTTTCTAACAGCACATCTTTGTTTCACTGTTAGAACCTAAAGGGGCTGAGTCAAGAAGCAGAAAATATATATAATGGATGAGGTGTTTGCTGAGGCTTGTGGCACACTTGGAGGAAGGTGCCTGCTCCTTCCTTTGCCAGACTTGGTCCAACCATCTCATGATAAGACCTTTGCACTCCCTCTGGGTGTAACAATCCTGCCGAGCGTAGCTGCTTTCCAGGTCACCAATCCCAGGCTTTGCGGAAAAGGAAGCTTAGATTTAGACACAGGCTGAGTTTTTGTGTTTGGAGTATGTCCTACATCCCAAGAAATGTGCTCCTAGCTGGAGCAGATGCTGGTGAAGCACCAGCAAGAACACAGAAGCCGGCTGGCTGGGTTGAAATTAAAATTCCCACTGATTTCACAGAGCCCAGGATTTCAGCACAGGCTGAATCATAAGCACTTTGCAGAGCTGTTGTTTAAAAGGCACAGTCATAGTGCCACTTCCTTTCGTGCTGCTTCTTCCTTTCGATGCACAATCCACTAGATATCTGCCATACAAAAGGCACGTTTCTCTTCAGCCAGATGCCATCAGATTAGAACACTCAAGGCTGAGAAAGCCTCAGAATTGCTGCAGACAGCGCTTGGTATCTGTAATGCCAGACACTGCTGTCAGAGCCTGTCCTGATCCATAGGCCCAGCTCTTCCGTGTTCACATCAGTGCCTGCCAGGATTCACCAGGAATCCCGAGGTATTGTCGAAAATTGAGCTTGTTATTCCCTAACAGAGGTTGTAAATGAGGCCAGGCCAAGTGAGAGTGGATTATGGACTTGTTGAGAACTGCCCCAGAGTTGGCACCGCCCGTGGCACGTTTACATCTCCCCGAGGTCTGATTTCAGGGGACTGCCGCAGATGCAAGTGCTGAAGGGATCGTGGATAAGTACTGTAACATCAGTGCTCCTTGCTTTTATCTTCTGAGCATTTTAATATTATTTTTGTTCTTTTGCACGCTACGTGCTGAGATGGAAAGGGAGTTTTGGAAATGATCCTGAAAAATCTCCCCTTCACCCCATCACAGAGCAACTCCAAATCAGTGCAGCCAAACTCAGAATCTGTCATTGCTCCTTTAAGTCATGGCAAACGAATGGAAATCAAAGCACAGCACTACAGAGCCAGCTTTCCTCCTGACTGATGCAACACCCACGTTTACACAAGGTTAATAAGAAAAAAAAGAGAGATCAAATGGGTTAATTGGCCTTGGAATGTGTATGCTGCAGATTCATCTCCCGCTGAAGGCAATGAGAAGCTTTTTCACTGAGGGGAAGAATTTGCAAGGGGCACAGAGGAAAAGCTTTAACAACTCTGTTAAATAGCAAATCAGGAGTACAATATGCCAGTTTTGTAGCTTTTTAATTAAAAAACCCAAGCAAACATCTCCCCACTTAGATTGTATATAAATTTTTACCTAGAGCTGTTTTGAAATGCCTCCAAACTAAACAATTTTTTTCTTCAGAGACCTTCTTTCTACATGGTTTGCTCTGTCTGTAGCAGAAAGCTTGGCCTGCTGCCCTGAAATCCTAAGGGTCAATTGGAAACCTCGACAGAGAAATTAGAAGTCTCATGTGCTGTGTCATCTGATGCTTTATCACTGCTGTGACTGCACAGGGGCACTAGCAGAGAGGATGTCATTGGTGGAGCACAGCTAACTTTGTTCTTCAAAAACCTTTCTTTAAAATGTCTGGATTTAGGATGTTGCTGGGCGAGAGGATGTTTTGCCATCTTTATGCCTTTTGAGTATTCCTAAAACTAAACTGAAGCCGTGTGCCTTTGTTATGAGGAAGCCTCTTTGTCCTGTGAAAACAAAAAGTTTTGGTTAAGCAGTTTCTGTGTATTTAAAGCAGGGAGCCTTGTTGGGAGTTGATTGTGCTGCTCTCCTTCAGAGTCTTTTGGCATCGCTGTGCAGGCCCAGTGCTGCCCCTCTGCTCTGCTTTGGCCATAACTGCTCCCTCAAAGCTAAAACTAAACTAAAACACGAGAAGTTCCACCTCAACATGAAGACTTCTTTATGTTGAGAGTGGCAGAGCACTGCAACAGCTGCCCAGGGAGAGTGTGGAGTCTCCTTCCCTGGAGATGTTCCAAACCCACCCGGGGAAGTTGTTGTATCACCTGCTCCAGGTGACCCTTACTGGGCAGGAGCGGTGGGCTGGATGACCTCCAGAGGTCCCTTCCAGCCCGAACTGCTCTAAGGGTTCTGTGATGCCGTCAAATCGCTCCCCCTTTTCGCATCCCCCCCATCTCTCAGCAGGACAGGACGCGCAGGCACTCACCCTCGCTCCCTCCTCTGGCATTTCGCTGCGGTGCCGCAGCCCCACGCGTGCCTCTCTCTGGGTGGGGGGGAGACGGCTCTCCGGTTCCCATCGCCTCCCCGCCGTCCTTCTGCGTTGCCCTCGGTGGGGCAGGCGCTGTCGGGGCCCTGGCGGTGCCGGGAGGTGGCGCCGCGGTGCCGCCGGCGCTGCCCTGGGCGCGGGGGAACCTCGGGGGCCGAGCCTGGCGGGGCGGGAGGAGGAGGAGGAGGAGGAGCGGCGGGGAGGGAGGGAGGGAGCGGAGCGGGCAGCGCGGCGGCTCCGTGCCCTGCGTGCGTGCGCGTGTGTGTGCGGGGAGCGGGCGGGCGGTATAGACAGGGTATATAGAGGATGTGCCGCCGCATGGCTCGCCCCGGCCGCCGCCACCGCCGCGCCAGCTCCTTGGGCGAGCGCCAGTGAAGCGCCGTCGCCCTCTCGCCGGCCGGGCAGCGCCTCCCTGCCCGCTCCGGGCGCTCCCTGCCGGCCTCGCTCCCGGGTTTCCGGCGTCCCTCCCGAAGCGGCCGCGCCGGGGGCGAGCGGCGCGTCCATGCGGGGCCGATGGCCGGGGCTCAGCCTGGGGTGCACGCCCTGCAGCTCAAACCCGTCTGCGTCTCCGAAACCCTCAAGAAAGGCGTCAAATTCGTCAAGTGGGACGATGTGAGTACCCCCCCCCCGCTTCCCCCGGCAGGGGCACGGCTGTGTCCCCTCCGGAATGGGGTTTCGGGTGCACGTGTTGCGGCCCCCCGGCCCTGCCGGCTGCGGGACCCCGGGGGCGGGCGATGGGTGTCCCCGTCCGGGACCGGCGGCCGAATGCCGGGCAAACTTTCTCCGAAGGCTCCCCGATCTGATTTCGCTCGGCCGGTGCGAGCCGTGTTGTGCTGGCTCCTTCAGCGAGCGCCTGCCTCTCCCGCCTCCCGTGTTTCAGTGTGCATGTTGCCACCTCTGTCCTCGTAACATAGTTGTTTCAACCTGTTCTTTCATCTCCCGTCGCCTGCCTCGCAGCCTCTCCTCTCCTTTCTGGCCCCTGTCCTCCTCTCTGTCTCTCCGGCGGGCTTGTCAGGCCCTTGGATGCCTTCTCCCAGGGCTCACAGCTTTGGTACCCTCGTTCATCTTCCTCTCTCCTTCTTTGCCTCGAAATCATCCGCTTTACCTTTAGCGCTTGCTGCTTCCCGAGTCTTTACGCTTGTATTGCCTCACGTAGGGAAGGAGTGTGGTTTCCACTTCACCTTCGGTAGCACAGCTGTTCAGCAGCTGGAATTTCCTTCTTCGCGTGCCGGCTGTGCCCGGGACAGTTTCAGAGAAAGGCAACTTCTCTTTATTTAGTTTTCCTTTTCCCAAAGCCTGTTGTGTCCTCTGTTTAGCCTTGCTCCTGCAGTACAGCATCGGGTGTTTGTGTCTCAGCTGTGCACGGAGGAGCAGGTGCCCCAAAAAGTCTGTCTGGCAGCGGTGTCTGCAGACAGAGGGGCACCGTGAGACTCGAGCTGCGGTAGAGAAATGGTTGGGAAGGAAGGCAGGCAGTCTGAACCTCTGAATTGCTGAGGATGGCTCGTTTTGAGTGCTCTTGTATTTTTGCTGCGAGTTCGGGTGTGCTGAAAAACATCCACGGCAACAACTGGAGGGGCAACAGAGAGGGAGAAGGAGCAGTTCAAGTGTAACCACGGTTCTTGTTACATATTGCTCTTTTGACTTTGCTTTCAGCCTGTCCCGCAGCCAAATGTGTGAGCCTGACCCCTGTAAAACCTGTGATAAACACTCTCAAGGAGAGAGAGAACATAAGAAACCGAACAACTTGCGGTGTGAAATTTTATTTACAGTAATAAGCAAACACGGCTTTAATAGGCTCGGCAAACTGACCTTGTCCACCGTAGTAAACACTGGCTTTTGATACAGGTTATTTATGTTCAGGAGCTAAGCTTGAATGACTTGCCTGGGAAAATGTTTTCTTGCAGTTGACGTTTTCCTTAGGATAGGAAAAGGCAGCACAGCCTCAGCCTTGTCACTGCTGTTATTGTTTTATTTTTGGTAAGCTACCAAGAAACTTCCACAGGTTTATGTAGAGGTCAAGTGACTGAAATCTCCAGACTGAAAGCCCAAGCTGTCAGGCAGCAGTTTAAATTACTAGTTTAAGTGCTATTTCTATGTATTGTATACATAGAATCAGGAGGAGAAGTGTTCAGTGGCTAACCTGTCTGCTATGGACTAACAGGAAAGAAGATGAAAACTGTAAACCTAAAGGCTGCACTAATAAAATATAGCTAAATCCTAGTAAAAGGTGTGCATTTCAGGCTGAAGGTGTTACTCAGGGACACACAGGTGTCACCTGGGATGTGTGACTGAGGTGAGAGCCCTGTTGTGATCAGTGAGTGCTCTCACTGGCAATCTTGTGAAAGTTGATGCGTGTTTATCTACACTCACGAAGAGCTGTGGCATTAACTCATGGGTGTCTGTGCATTGTGTGTGTAGCTGCACATTTCCCACCGCTCAGCCTCCCTGTCCTGCCCATAGTTCCTTCTCAGCAGTGAAAGCCCCCCAAAATCCAAGATTTCAAGGGAAGCGTGTCCCGTTGCTATGCTGGCTGTAAAAAGATCTTCACACGAATGCAAGTGCGATGACTTTGAGAAGTATTTGCCATTGAGTAGCCAGTAACCCCTTCAGAGCCTTTGTTTTCCAGGAAATTAATCTGCTCGAGGGTTTTTAAAAATGCTGGTTGTTAATGTGGCCCTCGGTGGTGTGTCATGTAGGCAGGTGTAAGGAATTCCATGGTGCACAGAGTAAGGGTTGTTAAAGATCGTACTTGCCAGCTTTGAGAAGGATGCTGTGCTGTGCAGAACAGTGACAAAAGCTGCAGTGATGGAGGCTTTAAAACCAGCCCACACCTTGATATCCCACCCCGAGCCTCTGTGCCTGATCAGGAGCTCTGAAGCGCTAATAGGTGTGGTGCTGATGATTTGCACGGGCTCCCTGTCTGAGGAGCAGCAGTGGAGTTTGCTGCACATCTCACGTGAACCTCAGCACTGTGATGATGATCCAGTGGCAAAGAGAAATGCCTGGCCTGAGCTTTGCTAAGAGGAGAGGAGGAGTGTCAGCCCCTCGAGGCCACTCACATACAGGCAGGTGGAAAGCTTAAAATTCCATTTCCTTTGCAGACCATCTAGAGTTGGAAGAGCAGTAGGATCGATTAAAAAATTCTGGCTTTGCAAGACAAGTCCCTCTTTTGTGCCTTGGGATCGGATGTGGTAGCGCTCACACACTCTAATACCCAAATTCCCTTTGGGATCAGGGTATAAAGCACCACAGTCAAACAGATTATTGTTGTCTGGTAACTTTGCCTTTCCTCACACCGTTTGTGTTTTATCCTGTAACAGTATTACAGGTTGGAAAACAGATTTTAGAAAGAACTCTTGCTCCTGATGTGGAGTTTGGGTTCCCGAGGCACTGAGCAGGAATAGGTGACGGATGAATGTGGCTGGTTGCTTAGGTGGGTTATTTTTGTGGATGTATCCACCTGTGTGCCTGGTTCCAGATGGTTACTTGGCTGAGCACTTGCTTCTCTAGATCATATTTTTTCATATTCATCCTATTTTTTGGACCTCTGTAGCTGCTTCTCCCTTAGAGCTGGGGAGAGACTGAGCCTCTCAACTCCTGCTCTGGCCTTGAGCAGATGTGCTCGAATTCCTAGAGGGAGGGAAGGCTTCAGGGAGAACTGGCCTGCTCCCCTCTGCTCTAGGGATACCCAGGTTGTAACAGCTCTTCCCGATGAGGCTTTTACAGCAGCTGAATAAACAAATAAAAAGGTGGCAGTTCAGTCCACGGGTGAAGCTTTTTGGGGAGGGGCTTAAGCTTAATGTAGCAGAGCATGTTGATAGTGGAGAGGAGCGATGAATCCTGAGTATAAAGAGTGACTTCTCTCAGGACTGATCTGACTTCTGAAGGGCTCCAACCTGCCTTGGCTGACTCCTTTCCCTGGCCTGTTTCCCTGGTTTCTCTCTGGCCTGTGATGGGTAAAACGGAGTGAACAAGTATCTCAACAGCCAGAGCAGAGCCCAAGTTTTCCAAGAGCAGCAAGTGAACACGATGGTGCATATTCAGAAATAGATTTGTTTTCATTTCTTGCTTAAAGGCTCCCTTATCTTCCCCAGTGATAACGTGCACTTTGCATAAACACTTGGCAGGCTCTCTGTGTGGCTCACACTATTACTTGCCAGTTAAGTTCATTGGTAAGGTAATGGGACTACCTAAACAGAGGGCCATCATTCCAATTTTCTAGCCATCTATTTTTTTCCAAAACTTTTGGATTACTGAAGGATGGGTGGCATTGCTTAGTGGCTCCAGCACTTGCCCAGTGAGCGGCAAAAACAAACCCAGGTCTTACTAAGCTCATTTTTAATGCCTTTCTCTCGGGGCACTTTATCTTAACAAAGCATTTTTGAGCTCAGATGGTGAATGTTATGTTTGCAGTTCGTCTATATTTGCTTAAAATCTTGGAGAAGATTATCAGGAGCATGAGATAGGTCCCCTTTTAACCTTGCAAGCAAATGTATCATCAGAACATCGTTATTATAGATAAGCTGGGATGAAACAAATAAACAACCTGGGAGCTTTCAGAAGTTATTTTAAGATCTTGATGCTGAACTAACTTTCTTTTTCCCTTGCCTTGTTGTGTTTGTTTTTAAACTCTGCCCAAGCCTGTCACTCCAGTACATTAGTGAGGCCGTGAAAAATGAGCAGCCATTGTTCTGTGTGTATAAAAGTAAAACAATAAGCTGAAGAGAGTTTTTTTTTTTTTTTTTGTCTGTTTTCAGTCTGGAGGGAAGATGTTAGTAGTAAGTTTTGGAGTTTTTGCTGGTTCTTACTTGTTGCTGATCTTTAGTAAAAAAAATATCAGCTCTGTGCCGTATAGAAATAGTTTAAATGAGGAGAAATTGTGGTTTTGCTCTTTGGCAACATAGGAGAATAATCAGATGGAGATAAAATGTTTAGCAGTTAACGTTTATTAAAGGGAAAGCCCTAACGTAACTCAATTAGCAGGCTCTTTATCACTTCAGTGTGTGTGGGGGGGAAGATTTGAGAACGAGATGCCTGTTTGAGAAGATGTGGTGGAGACTTCACATATTTAAATCACAGATAACATCTGTTATTGTAGCATCAGAGCTCTTGGGAGTGTTGGTGGATAGTAGGGAAAGTGCAAGCCAGAAAACAACTCCTAAATAAATGAGGATTGTTCATGAAAGAGAAGTTAACTGTGAATTTGAATTGTGCACTGGATGCTTTCTTCTCTGCAGTGTTTGAAAAAGCTCAAGACTTTTTTGTTGTTGTGTTTGTTGTTTTTTTTTTTTAAATAAAATCTGTAGTGAAATAGTTAACAAATAGTTAACTAATCACTATGGGGTCTTTTATCTATTATAAAGTAAATGCTTGGTAAGCACTTCTTAATTTATTTTCAGGAGGCCCACTAGATGACAAAATGTGTTCCCAGTTGTGCTCTTGTAGGTCCAAAAAAAAAGAGACCAACATAAAAACCTACTAATTTTTAATCTGCCATTAGATACTTTAAACCTAATTTCCAGGCTGCACAGCACCACACAGTCAGATGTTCAGGATGCCTCCCCAGTGACTTCAGATGAGTTTGGGCTCAGCATCTCAGGAAATAAAAAGAAATGTGGAAATGCAATTCCAGTGTTCCCTCAAAATCAGAATGCAGCATTTATGCTGGTGAACAGACTGCCTTAAATGAGATTTTCTCAGCATCACACAAGAACTCTCTGGCTGAGATGAAATTCTTCCTTTTTGGCATTTGGATACTTCTGCTCCCAAGTTCTCCCTTCATTCCTTCTTTCTGTGCACTTGGCAACCTGTAAAGGACTCCTGCAGACAAATCAGGACTCCAGGCAGTGAGGGTATAATTAGCCCAAGGGTGGGGACGTCTCGAGAAATGGTTTGGGGTAGGACAGGCTTCTGAGAAACAAATCCCACTCAGGGTGCCTCCTGTCAGCTTGCAGGGCTTCAGTCTTTGATCAGCACAATGATGACTTGTATCCTGTGGTGCCATCACCAGAGCTTCCCCAGCATTTAACCACTTCAGCAATGAAGAATATTTTCCTGCATGTTCCTGGTGAACAAGTGGGGCTTTCATATTTTGAGTCTCGTAAGCTCAATTCCAGTTTTGATACTTTTTTATTAATCCTGCTTCCACTTTCCACTCATTTCACTTTGTCCAGCGTTTTCTTCTTGCAATCTGTTCCTTTGCATGGCAGATTTGGTTCTTCTGCCCTCAGTAGAGGAGAACATCTGAACCCTTCCAGGTGATCTCAGGAGTTCATTCCTTTTGCCCAAGTGAAAAGAAATGCTGGAGAACATTTTGCCTGTGCCAGAAACAATTCACATTTCTTAGCTGTGTGTTTGGAAGCAGCTTGGCAGAAACTTTGCAGCAGAAGATTCAGGCACATGAAATAATGGTGTGTGTGAAAGTTCTCAGGTTATATTTGGGGACATTCAGTGTCTCTGGAAATCCGAGGCAAGCCCAGGGAACAACAGGCTGGCTTAAGGCAGTGTCATGAGCCCCCCTCTGCTCTAACAGCTGAAGTAGCATTTAAATATTAAAAATAAAAGTAGCATTGAAATGGAGGTGGCACTTTTTGCTTGCTAACGTTGGGTGTAGTCTGGGGGACCCACACTTCCAAGTCAGGCCTTGAAACAGTTACCTGGCAGGTACTTAATTGTGGATTTATCCCTTGATGATCTGTGCCTGCTTGGTAAGGATCCCAAAGTTCTCTGTGGCACTTTGTGGGCGTGAATTTGAAGGCTTTTGGTTTGAAAGTATAAACCAAAGAATATTGCTAATGCAGGACCTGAGGTTCTGCAGCCAATTAGGAGGCAACCTAATGGAATAAGTGTAGAACAGCCACATTACTCTCTTGAGGCTGTGGAATTGGAGGAAAGTGGAGAATTGGCCCTAAGTCAACAAATGAAAAGGTGGAGGGCTTTTAAAGGTGGAATTAAAAGCCCTTCAGGAAAATTATTCACTTAAGTTTAGACCCAGGGTGATGTGCAGCACGCTGGGACTGCCAGGCCACCCTTTGATTCCAGGAATTTGCAGTAGGAATGTGTTGGAAGCTGAGCTGCTGCTTGGCACAGGCACCTGTGGGGAGCTCTTACAAAGCCTCACAACCTACAGTCATTTGCACCAAGGGCTGGGACACCTTTTCTCCTTTTCCTCTTCCCTTTCTGGTCACAGCTGATTCTGGGCTTGGTCATCTCCTCCTGTGCCGTTTTTCATCTACTTGGAAGTGTCTCAGGAATCTGGGGCTCCTACCTAAAGGAAAAGGCTGCTTGCTGTGTCGACATCCAGAGGAATGGAAGAGCTCTACCCCTACTATTAAATTTAAATTTAATGTTAGAGATGTACAACACTGACGTTTTGTCTCTGTTTTATCCTCATGTTCTGCATCTGAGTGGGTCAGAGAAGACACAATGCCTGCTCCTGATTTGTTTGTCCATGAAATTTTGTTTGCTGGTTTTCTTTCCTCCCCCTCTATTGTGTCCTGTCCTTCACCTGCTTCTTCAGAGCTGGGTATGGTTGGTCAGTCTGCTCAGGGGGAGTTGTGGGGGCGGCTCTTTGGGTGAGAAAATGGAATTAATGGCCTTCACAACACTCTCATGAACGACTGCAGGCGTGTCTTCTGGGTCGTGAACCACACATAGCACAACAGTGTTTGTAAATAAACGAACCAGGCAATTGTTGGTTGAAACGAGTTTCTCTTTCATAGCCTTGAACTGCTGCTCTTCTTGAATGTGTACTGCGAAAAGGGGGTTTTCGTGGATCTTCTTGATTGTTGCTGCCTTTGCAAGCCCTGATTGCAGAGCGGGATAAAAGCAACAGAGCTGTTCCAGGTGACAAAGGACTCTGTTAATGCAGAGTGAGGAGAAGGACGTTGAGAACTGACTCAAAAAATGTATTTCCATTTCTCCACACCCAGAACAGTGTGGCATTTGGTGGCAGGGACTTAAAGAAAAGTTCATCAGTTTATTGTGCCGTGCCCGCTGTCGGAGTACTGTAGTTAATTTAAAAACAAAAACCTACAAGCAAACAACTTCCTGGAGCAGAGAATCTGAGCTATCCAAGACTCATCGTTATCCCTGTCTTGATAAGGTTTTCTTTGTGTCACCTCATGGATACTGAAAGCTCTTCCCCCTCGTCCTCTGCTTTTTTGAGTCTGATTTCACTCAGTATTTTACAACCCCCATCTCTCAAAGTATTGCTTTGATAGCTCAGGCAAATCCGAACACCTTTGGGTTAAAGCAACTGGTTTGAAATGATTAACCAGCAAAATTGGTTCATCCTGGAAGATAATTGCTTTGCTCCTGTCTGCTTCCCATCGCTTCTCTTTCCCCCCTGAAGTTGCACATATCTCATCCAAAGGCTTTGTCTTTCCTCATTTTAAATTATTTGCACACAGGCTGCATGAAATAAGACAAAAAAGAGAAGAGTTGTATTTCCAGAGCAGTTTCCTTTTTTTTGAATAGCACAGGTCTGAGAATCCTTTTGTATTTTCTTGTGGGTCCAGTCAATGTCCCTTCAGGTATATTTTAAAAGTGAATTTGCCTGTTGTATCAAACAGTTCCCAACTTTTCAGGTGTACAAGATGGTAGAAACTAGGGAGAAATGGGGGGAAAAATGGATTCTACAGATTCTGATTATCTTCTTGCATCATGAGAAGTAATAGATAAAAGTCTTAATGTAGCAAATGCTGTTTCAGATTTTCTAGGTGAATTGAGTCTTTGCAAACACAATTTAGTAGGCATTTAGCTCGTGTGGGTGGATACCTGAAGGTCAGGTTGTCTCGAGGTGGGCAGTGGGCTGCTGGTAACTGCAGGGCTTTGCTCTGTGGGCTCCACTTTGCCAGTCAGTGTGTTACGCCTGTTTAACTTCATCTGCTTCCAGCTTTTCTGGATTAACTCCATGTGTTGACAAGTCTGGAGTTTAGTGCTGCCTTCACAGCAATGGCAAGATGTGTTATGTCTGAAAAAAGAGATTTGAGGCAGGTGATGCTAAATCCTTTCAGTGCCACCTCGCCAGTGATCCCTTCAGGGGGATTCCTGGATGCTGCAATTCATTAACACGGGTGGCAGAGCAGCCTGTGCATAACCATGTGTTCTGTGTGCTGACATGGATTTCTTGTTTGTCCTTTTGCCTTCCAGGACTCCACTGTGGTGACTCCAATTATTCTCAGAACAGACCCACAAGGATTTTTCTTTTACTGGACAGATCAAAATAAGGTAAGAGAGAAGCTTCCAGCTCCGGAACGGTTCTTCCTTTTGTATGGTGGTGTGATGGGCAGGAATCAGGAGGCTGGCACAGCAGGCCAGCGTGGCATCAGCACACCTTCCTCTGCTCCTCTCAGGAGCAGATACAGCGGGCTGTGGCTCATCCCTGGGGCACAGATCTTGGAGAGATGGATGGAAGAGTTGGTCATTTCCAGCCGTGTGAATGAACTGATGTCCAGTGAGATGTGTAATTGTCCTTGGAAGGGCAGGCAAGGATGTGCTTGTGATGCTGTTGTGGTTTCTCTTGCCTTCTCCACACCGAGGATTTGGTCTGCGCTGTGTGGCAGGCCCAGAATTCCCAGAGGCCGTGGCTCCCTCTGGATTCTTGCTCCTTGGTGGCCACGCGCTCCCTGGCCGTGCCACGTGGGCCACGTCACCAGGTTCTCACTAATCCTCCCTGGACACTTTCTTCCCAAAGCATTCCGGTGTGCTGAGGTCACTGGGATGGCTGGGGAGCTGCTGGGGAAGCTCATGGCCTGATTCATCCCTGCATTGCTCCACTTTCACATCCCTGCCACCCCTTGGAATCCACAGAGTCACGTCTGCAGGGAAGGAGCTCAGTACCCTGAGCTGGGTGCAGTTGGTGTCGTGCACCACACCAGACACAAAAGAGTAAATTATTGCTGCAGTGATGAGAGCAAAACACTGTCTCAGCTGGGAATGAGTTCCTCTTTTCTGACAGGTGAATTTTCTAGTACTTACCAAGTAAGTGCTTCTATTGGCTCCCTGCTGAAAGTGGTGTTAGAACTTGGTGGTGAGCTTTGAGCTTTAGCCTCGTGAGGAGCATCTGCCCAAATGACTGAAAAGGCGCTCCTGGCTATGGAAACCTGGTGTGCCACTCGGGGAGCTGTTTTTTTCAGGAGTTCCTGTTGATCTTCAGTTCAGATACCAGGGCAAAAATAGCTTGAGGAGGTAGTAACCATGAAATGTGCAGGCTGAACAGGCCATTTGCTGTTGCATTAAATCATGTTTATCCCTGCCACGTTTGCTTTGTAGAGGGGATGGAGCTCGGTTCGGAGTCGGTGTGTTTGGAATTCCTATCGTGGAGTTGTTACACAGACAGTCCAGGCTCGTGGTGGGCAGTGGTGGGTTCATCTGTTGGCAGCCCAGAGCTGTGAAATTGCTGCCCTCAGAAGCTGAATGCTGGGACTGACACGCTGGGGCTGTGCCAGAACAGAGAGCAGGCCTCTGCTCTGTTCCTTCCCTTGCATAAACTGATCGTCTGAGCCTAAAAGGAATGAGGGACTTTATAAGAATAAGTGGAAACCCAGAGTTGATTGGAGAGTTTATTTCGCTTTTAATATGTTTGGCACCAAGACCTCCTCCAGTTTCCTACTGTTGTCTGTAAAAACAATGTCTTGAAGCAGTTCTGTGAAGAATAGCTATTTATAGAATTGTTGTTCTCATATTCATGAAAAAATGTATTTATAACGCTCGGGGCATTTTTTTTTTTTTTTAAAGGTTGGGTGTTTTTACAAGAGGAGTTAAGTGTCAGTTTGATTTTTAAACTTGCAAATCAAGCCTCTGTAAAGAGCAACCAGGGGGATTTTTTTTCTGGTTAATAATTCATGACAGCTAGGTGAAGCTTGTTTCTGAACACCACCCTAGCAGTGTCTGTTTAAAGGGAGTAAATTTCTATCTGTTGGGGTGCTGATGGTGCACAGACCAGGAAGGAAATGCCATTTTCTCCTTTTACAGAGCGTGGTTGGGTTCATGTTTATTGTGAAACTGCAAATAGATGAATAAAGGAGGCTCTACAGGAAACTCTCTTTAATTTCCTTCTCTTTGTGCTAAGTGATCCTGCGGTGATAGTGAAGAAATACCAGGACAATGCACCCTCTGTGTGATCACTTTCTCTTTTTTTCCCCCCCGTGTTGTTCTTTTAAGCAATTGCTTTTGTCATGAAGAAACCCTGTTATCTCGTGTGCCTGGAGAGACAGGCCGTGCTGAACCGGGAGGAGGTGCCTGCCAGCTTCCTTGAGCTGACACGTTTTCCTGGGAGCCCACTCCAGGCAGGGGTGGAGGTGAGGCAGGAGGAGCAGTTGGCTTCGTAGCCCTCGGTGTGTCCTGACTGCCAGAGCCTGAGCAGAGCAGTAAATCACTGCCTGGGTGATGGCATGGTGCTTAAATCACAAAGCTGGCTCCTTGAGTCGCTGTTGCCTTATCAGCGAAGTTACACAAAAATTACGTGAATCACTGGGAGGGAAAAACAAAACAAACAAAAAACCACTCCCCTGTGCCGAATTTTTATTTAGCCTGAGGAGCTGGCGGTTGCAGCTCTGCAGCTTTTTGTGTCTTGTGTTTTCTTCTTCCTTTCCTTTCCTTTTCTTCTCTGCTGCAGAGAAAGGAAGATGCTGTGTAGTGAGTGCTGTCCAGCAGTGGGGCTGGACAGCCTTTTAGACGCTTCTTTGTGCAGCCAGAGCTCAAAGTTCCTGGTCAAGTCAGTGTTCCTGACCCCACCTTGGAGTTCTCCGGGAGTTGCCTGCAGGGTTTGCATCCCAGTTGGTGAGCCTGGATAAGCTGGACAGCTGAGCAGAGCAGGGTCAAAAAGGCAGCTGAGAGTCACCCTTAAACCCAAGAGGTGTTACAGACATTGCCAGTGTGGCCTCTCACCTTGCTGTCCCCTGTAGCTTTCTGATGAATAAGTTAGTGCTGTTGTCCTGGTTTGCTGCAGGAGCCACGTGCTCCTGATGAGCCATCCCGGGTCTGTAGTTGCAGCCCCGTGGGGGCCTTTGCCGCTCTCACCACCCGTGGAAGATTGTGAGGGTGGCAGTTCTCGTGTGCTGAAGGTCTGATCGGCAGGTCCATTTGAACTCTGATCCTGCAGGTTGGTAATAGGAGTGTGGTATCCTGCATTTGGAAATGCTTGCTGTGCATGTGCATATTTAAACATGCACTGCTGTCATCAGTCAAGGTAATCCTCCAAAATCAAGTCATACACGGCATTTTGCTGTTTCCTGATAACAGCAAGGAATTAAATGCAAACCACTTTGTTTGAAGCAGATGGCAGGGCAGCTTTCTGATGTTAATTGTATTTTTCGATATGAAATTCTTTTGTTTTGCTGAAGATTCTGGAGTATTTTCTTCATCTGTATTGCAGAGTGCTGGCTGGTTTCATATTATTACTTGAATGATTCTCAACATGGGTTTTAAAAAAGAAAATTAATGTGACAAGCTAATGTCTCTTACTTATTGTTTTGGTAATGTTTCTTAACTATAGCAAACCCAGACAATATTCATTTTTGTTGTCATATTTTTATGACCTGACTGAAACATTTCCCAATTCCTTGCTGCCTTTTTTTTCTTTTTAATAGAATCTCATTTCTTCTATTTGTTGTTATTGTGGTCCTGAGCACTGAAGAAGGATAAATCCAGACTTGCTGAGGTGAAGGGAAAGTCTGCTGGAGAAAACAGGAGGGATAATCGAAGGCATTTCTCAGGAGATGAGGGGAGGCTGGAAGTGTTTGACGTGTTCAGCAAAGCCAAGCCAGAGAGACTGTGGTTTCTGACTATGGATAAATATATTAATGAATGCACAGGCAGACCAGGAGAAGAAATAGGTGTTGTCAGATGGTGTGTGCATTAATATCTTGCATCCTTTACCTGCAAGTTATGCTACACAATGAAAAGGATGTTAGGAGACAGTCATTAACTCAGTGCCAAGAAAAGGAGGAAAGCAACTAATGGCTTTTATGATGGAGCCATTTAGGTTTTTAAAAAGTCTGAGGATGGATTAATATATTGTCTTCTCCCTCTCACTAGCACATACTGATTTCTTCCTCCTCGTTTTAAAAGCTGGGCAGCTACAGTGAGGTGGCAGCATGGTAAAACCAGAGGCTGCAGGCCCGGCCTCACCCACAGCACCTCAAAAAGAGATGGAAGTGTGTGCTGTGGAACTAAACATCAGTGCCCGGTTGCAGGGAGTCAGCGGTGATCGCTGTAGAAATGCTCTTGTAAACAGATCGTGGGGCTGCTTGTTTGTGCGAAGGAAGTTGTTGACAGGCTACTGCGGTGCTGAGATGGTGCTTACTCTGCAGGAGGGGCTCAGTGTGCCCCCTCCACCCCACTGGAGCAGCTGCACAGCCCGGCCAAGGGGTTTAGGTGGGAGGAGCGCTGACTGCAGGGGGTGGATGGCACCGTTCACACCGCGGGATTTGAAGTGTCTTTGAGAGTGGGGTGGTGAGACCACAGAAGCACTTGCAGGCAGCTGTTTCCCGGCTCTGGCTTGCTCAGAGTGGCAGGCTGAGGGAATCTCAATGCAGAGGGACTCTGGGCAGCTCTTTAGTTACGGTGGTTCTGCTGTTCTCAAGGGAAAGAATGGGGGTAGCTTCTCCTCTTGGAGTGACAGGGCTGTTTCTGTGTGTGGGCACTGCTGGCAGAGCTGGCACTGACGTGTAGCTCAGCCACAGACTGGGGGGTCCCTTCCAGAGCCTGTACCAACAATCCTTCAGCTGGAGCTCTCCTGTTCCATGAGAGTTCATGAGGTGGTTCCTCGGGGTAAAAGACAAGAGGATTTCTCTGACATGGAAGGTCCTTTCCCCTCTGGTGTCCTGAGGTTATCCTGAGTTCCTTTGGGTTGAAAATCTAACCAGAGTGTCAGTGGAAATCTAACCCAGGGAGTGGAAAGTGGAGCCCAAGGGCTGTGGGTGGGATTCTGGAGGGTTAGGTTTGGCTTCAGCATTTGTGTAAACTGTGGCAATCCCATTGCCCTCCTCCCCATGGAAGAGGATGTGGCAGTTGTCCAGCTGCTGGGGATTCTGGCTGTTATGTAAGAGAGTTCTTTGGTGTCTGTTGTGAATCAGAGCTTTAAAACAACGGGGTCAGTGTTTGCATTGCCCGATGGGTCAAAGATAGTTACGTCTGGATATATGTCACACTGTATTTGACAAGCATACAATAACGGCTGAAGTTGCTATTTCAGTATTTAAATGATGCCTAATAATTTAACGAGA